TTAAGGAACGGCAAGGAGGCCAGTGTCACTGGATCTAAGCACACATGCGTTGGGAGGTTTTAAGGTACAAGAGAATCGGGAATGTGTATGGGGGGAACTAGGTGATGGAGGGCTTTGAACAGCAAAGTGTGGGTTTGGTATTTGATCCCAGATCAAATACAGGTGGTAGGGAACTACTGGAATTATTGAGTTGGGGTTTGGGAGGAGGGGTGACACAGTAGGACCTGAACTGTAGGAAAATCACTTTTGCAGCTGCAAGATACACTGGAATAGGGACAAATTTGTGGCAGGCAGACTGACCAGCAAGCCATTGCAATAGTTAAGGGTGAGATGAGTACCAGAGTGGTGGCAGTATCAGAAAAGAGAAGAGGATGTTTGAGAGATTTTGCAAAGATTTACAAAGGCTTTGGCAAAACATTGGATGTGGGGGGGGCGCGGAAAAGATAGTAATGGTCAAGGATGACACCTAGGTTGCCAGCCTGAGAGACTGGATCATGGTGCTCTCAACAGTAATAGGGGAGTTTGGAAGAGGAGAGGATTTGGAGGAAAGGTAATGAGTTCAGTTTTGAACATGTTGAGTCTGAGATATCTGAAGGACTCCAGTTGGAGATGGTTGATAGGCAGTTGGAGATGTGAGAATAGAGGTCAGCAGAAAGGTTAAAGCTAGATAGGCAGATTTGAGAACCATCTGCATAAAGACGGTAATTGAATCCCTGAAAGCTGATGAAGTGAAGTAGAATAGAGGGAGAAAAGAAGAGGGTCCAAGATAGCCCTGTGGGACATCTGTGGTCAGTGGGTGTGACCTAGATAAAGATCCAGCAAAAGAGACTGAGAAGTAGTCAGGGAGGAGAACCAGGAGAAAGAAGGGTCCTGAAAACCTAGAGAGAAGAGAGTATCAAGGAGAAGAGGGTGATCAACAGTGTCAAAGGCTGCAGAGAATAAAAAGGTCATTGGATTTGGCAAACTAAGAGATCATTGATAACTTTGGAGGGGGCAGTTTGTATTGAATGATGCATTCAGAATCTGGATAGTGAAGTTGAGAGTGAGAAGAGGGATGGTGGAGGTACCTATCACAGTTGGCTTTCTCAAGAAATCTGGCTACAAAGAAGAGACATGGGACAATAGTTACACAGTGGTGGGGAAGACAGCAGTGTCCTCCCTAGAGCAGAAGCCATTCTGCCTGGAGGGAAAACTGAAGTAGGAGAACCACAAGGGCCAGCAGACGATGGACACCAACCTGGAGATCAACCCATTGCAACCAGGACAAATTGTTGTTTGTGCTGTGTTCTCAGAGGACCATGACATCAGAGAGTTGATTTAAGTGAGGGAGGGCTGTACAAAGTCCTCCACAGCCACCTAGGTCCAGTGGCAAGATATAGATCAGGACGACTGGATATGGCCCCAGATGTAGTGGGAGACCTTGACCTTATTTTTATTTTTATTATTTTTTTTAGGCAATTGGGGTTAAGTGATTTGCCCAGGCTCACACAGCTAGTAAGTGTCAAGAGCTTGGTTTGAGACTGGATTTGAACTCAGGTCCTCCTGACCTCAAGGCCAGTGCTTTATCCACTGCCACCTAGCTGCCCCCCTTGACTTAATTTTTAAGCTAAAGTCTTTCCCAGGTCTCAATTTGACTGAGGCAACATCCATTCAGTGATTAAGGCTAGGTAAGAAAAGCAGCAAAGGATGGCCTTTTTTACCTAGTCAAAAAAAAAATTAATCTGGAAGGGGAAGACTCTCAGGGTTTCTGGCCAAAACAGAAACAATTGTTATTTACATTTACTCTGAGCCATCAGGGCCCAAATGGCCAATCATGGAGAGCCAGAGTGATTTGGGTTAAGGCACCGCCCTTAAGAAATCTAGCCCTTAAAGCCCCAAGATATCTTGTTTGGTTTCATTTACATTCCTTTGGGCAGAATACCCACAGGTAAGGGTATGATACCCTATGTGGACAGGAGGAGGTGAAGAGCAAACAGGAGAAGAGAGGAGAGGAGCAGAGCTGCATTGTCTAACTGGATCTGGCCAGTTGGGTCCCCAGTGGAGCAGCTCAAACTACTCGTAGGTTGTTGTTTTTCCTCTGTTCTTGAAGAGAACTATGACATCAAGAAGGAGGAGGGGTAGGAGGGGAAAAAGGAGGAAATGAAGGTAGGTGGGGCATTAGTGAAGGTTTTTCAATGTTGGAGAGATGTAGTCATGTTTGTAGACACTAGGGAAGGAGCCACTAGACAGGTATATATTTGTTTGAACGTTGTCTCCCCCTAAACTCCTTGAGGGTGGGGACTACCTTTTGCCTCTTTTTGTATCCCCATTGATTGGCAAAGGGCCTTGGCACATAGTAGACACATGATGTTTATTGACTGAGGGATACAAGATGAGGGAAGGAGGATACAGGCAGTCTGCTAGAGGAAATGGAATGCAAATGAGATGAACACTTACTTGTATAGGTAGAGAGGTTTGCCTTGGCAAGAAGGGAATCTTGGTGTGAGAAGGAGCAGATAGCAGAAAGCACTTGGGTGATATAAGGAGTTCTTGGCAAATGGACTGGTTTTTTTTTTCTTCAATAAAATAGGAGGCAAAGTTTTTAGCTAAGAGGGTGGGGGGAGGGGAAGCCATGAAAGTTTGAGGGATAAAGGGTTTGGAAGAATTTGATGTGGTAGGTGGGATAGTATGGGATAGACAGTTAATTAGGAAGGTACAGCCTAGCATCAGTGAGGGCCCAGTTGAGAACCCAGTCAGAGGGGTCCATTAGCCACCACCATTTGTCTCTTAAAAACTACACAGATCCTAGGCCCAGGGATAGGATCAATGGTAATTAAAGCAGCCTGCAACAGTCTTTTCTAAAAAAAAAATGTTTTTTTAAGTTCTAAACTGTCGCCTGCCTCCCCCTACCCACACACACTAGAGAAGGCCACCATTTGACACATTTATGTATGTAAAAAACATACTATGCATACTTCTATTTATCAGTTCTTTCTCTGGAGGTAGATAGTATCTTCCTTCATAGGTCCTTTGTAGTTGATTTGAGTATGTATACTACTCAGAATAGATTAGTCTTTTACAGTTATTCTTTGAACAAGATCACTGTTATTGTATACAATGGTTCTGCTCATTTCACTCTTCATTATTTTATGCAAGTCTATGTTTTTCTAAAATCAACCTGCTTATCATTTCTTACAGCACAGTAGTATTCCATCACAATCACATACCACAACTTGTTCAGCCATTCCCCAACTGATGAGCATCTCCAGTTCTTTGCCACCACAAAGTGAGCTGCTGTAAGTATCTTAGAATGTATAGGCTCTTTTCCTTTTTTCCTGATCACTTTGGGAAACAGACCTAATAATAGTATTGCTGGGGCAAATACAGAGTTTTCTAACCTACCTGTTCCCACATATTAGTGTCCCAATTTTCCACATTGTCTCCAACATTTGTCTTTACCCTTTCTATTATTTTAGTCAATCTGATAGGTGTGAGATGATATCTCAAAGTTGCTTTTCTTGAATCAATGATTTAAAGTATTTTTTCATATGTCTATTTATAGCTTTGGCTTCTTCATGGAAAAACAGCCTGTTGGGGCAGTTAGGTGGTGCAACAGAGCACCAGCCCTGGAGGCAAGAGGATCCGATTTCAAATCTGACTTTAGACACTTTCTAGCTATGTGACCCTGGGCAAGTTGCTTAATCCCAATGTCCACCCCAAAAAACAAACAACAAAAAAAACCAAAACAGCCTGTTCATATTCTTTGACCATTTATCAACGGGGGAATGACTCATATTCTTATGAATTTGACAAGTGATATATCTGAGATATGAGACCTTTATCTGAAAAACTATCAATTTTTTTTCTTAATCTGCTTTCTTTCTAACCTTGGCTACATTGGTTTTATTTATAAAACCCCTTTTTAACTTAACATAATCATAATTATCCATTTTATATGTCACAATACTATCTTGTTTATCCATAAATTCTTCTACTATCCATAGGTCTGATAGATAATATGCTCTATGTTTTTCTAATTTTTTTAAATTTTATTAATTTATTTTGATTTATCAACAATCACTTCCATATGCTTTTGAGTTGAAAATTTTTCTCCCCCTTCCTCCCCCCCACCCTCCCCAAGATGACACACAATCTGACATAGGCTTTACATTTACATACCCATTAAACATATTTTCACATTAGTGAGGTTGTAAGTAAAAATTAAAACCAATAGGAGGAACCATCAGAAAGATGAAACAAAACTCAACAGAAGGTAAAAATAAGTGAGAGTGATTCGACTTCCATAGTTCTTTCTTTGGATGTGGACAGCATTTTCCATCCCGAGGCCTCTGGAGATGTCTTAGATCCTCATAATGCTGAGAAAGGTTCAGTTTAACAATCTTAGTCATCACATAACGTGGCTGTTATTGTGTACAAAGTCCTCTTGGCTCTGCTCACTTCACTCAGCATCAGACCATATAAGTCTTTCCAGGTTTTTCTGAAGTCAGCCTGTTCATCATTTCTTATAGCACAATAGTATTCCATTACATTCATATACCACAACTTGCTCAGCCATTCCCCAATTGATGGGCATCCTCTCAATTTCCAATTCTTTGCCACCACAAAAAGAGCTGCTATGAATATTTTTGTACATGTGGGTCCTTTTCCCATTTGTTTGATCTCTTTGGGATATAGCCCTAGAAGTGCTATTGCTGGATCAAAGGGTATGCACATTTTTGTAGCCCTTTGGGCATAGTTCCAAATTGTTCTCCAAAATGGTTGGATCATTTCACAACTCCACCAACAATGTATTAGTGTTCCAATTTTCCCACATCTCCTCCAACATTTATCATTTTCCTGTTTTGTCATGTTGGCCAATCTGATAGGTGTGATGTGGTACCTCAGAGTTGTTTTGATTTGCATTTCTCTAATCAATAACGATTTAGAGCATTTTTTCATATGACTATAGATGGCTTTAATTTCTTCATCTGAGAGCTGTCTGTTCATATCCTTTGACCATTTATCAACTGAAGAATCCATGTTTTTCTAATTTATGTTTATCTCCCTTTATATCTAGGTCATGTATCCATTTTGACCGTATCATGGTAAATGGTATAAGTCCATACCCTTTCTGCTAGACTGTTTTCCTTTTCTTTGCTAAGGAATCTGGAGAGCCGTCTTCTAGTCCCAATTCACTGGTGTGACCTTGGGCAAGTGGCTCTTTACCCGTGGAGCCTTTTCTTTTTTCATTAAAATAAGATCAGGTTAAGGTCCCTTTCCAGGCCTAACTTTCATTGGTTATCAAAGCCGAAAGGGTTTGGTTTTCTGCTAGGAGACTGCTCCTAGAGTCCAGCAGTCTGTAGGTCTGTTTTCAGTGGCCATCGGCCTACATTTGCCTGGTGGCTGCCTGGGCCCAGGAAGGGCCGGGGGACTGTAGGACGTCGTTCTGTTGCAGAAAAGGCACTTGTACTAGCATGAGGAGCAAGTCTGGGAGGCCCAGATCTCGCACCAACCAGCGGCCAGGGCTCGGGCAAATCTTTCCCTCTCGATGCCTCGGTTTCCTCCATAAATGATGCTCTCCCTTCCAGCTCAATGAATAATACTAGTCCCTTAATGGTCCAATTGAGGGTTGGCCATTAATCTTGGGCCTCAATTAGTGAGGAGTAATCAAGCGCTGGATCTATTAATTAGGGACATTAAAGACGTCGCCTGGGGGGGAGGGAGGAAAGGCCAGCCAGGGCAGGAAAACAGGGGGTAGGCGGGGTCACCGGACCTTCCGGAAGCTCCCGGCCCGGTCTTCGTCTCTCAAACCCGTCGAGGGTCCTACAGGGTTATTGGGCCAAAGGTCCCACTTTTCTGTGCCTCATGTCCAAGAGAGGACCCCAAGCAACTCCAAGGAACAGCTAGCAACGACCGTTAACGCCCCGCGACCGGAAGAAGCCGGGACTGCCCCACGCGCCCACGCACCGCAGAGTCCCCTCCCCCTCCACGGCGTCCACTCCTCCTCCCCGGCCGAGCCAGCGCGCGCTTGCGCCCAGAGATCCCTCCTCCCCTTGGCCAGAAAGCAATCCCTGTAGCTATAAGGTTCCTCCTCCTCAGTGGGCTACGGGCGTCCCCGCGCAGGCGTAGTACGAACTCCTCTCCGTGGCCGGAGGCGATCCCTTGGTGGCGCGAGCCTTCCTGCCACGCTTGCGCACCGTTGGCCGTCGGGGAACTTGAAGCGGGGACAGGGGCGGGAGAAAAGGAAGAGCGCAGGTGCAGTGAGCTCCGAAAAGGAAGGGCGGGCGGTGACAGATACAGACATGCGCACTTCGGAGCGGGACGGAGGCCTGGTGGGGTCACCCCAGCGCAAGCGCAGTGCGGTGTTTGTCTGAGGGTCGGACGGGCGGGAGGTGCGCGGCGGCGGCGGCGGCGGGGAAGATGGCGGCGTCCTCCCTGGAGCAGAAGCTATCCCGCCTGGAGGCGAAGCTGAAGCAGGAGAACCGCGAGGCCCGGCGGAGGATCGACCTCAACCTGGAGATCAGCCCTCAGCGGCCCAGGCCGAGTAAGGAAGTCTGCAAGGGGGGAGGGGAATGGGGGGAGGGGAGGTGGGCGGGGCGTCAGGGCAAGAGGCCCCGCCCCCTGTCCGCAAGCTCCGCCTCTGGCTTCCGGAACCCCTCGGCTTTCCCCTCAAGGTTCCTCTCCCTCCCGAGACTCCCCCTCCCTCTCCTGACCATGGGGAGAGAGGGTCACCCTGACCCAGGGCTGTACTCCAAGCCTGGGGGAAGGAGAAGACTTCCGGTCCCCTCCTTCCTGACCTGGAGTGGGGCGAGAAACTCACCGAGCCCCTCCCCAAACTCCCCCGCCCCCCCCCTTTTTCTCCCTCTTCTTCCTTCCTCCCTAAATCCCCTTGGGGGTAGTATGGAGGGAGGAATTCTACCAACCCCCTTCCTCTTTCCCCCTCCCCCTTTTCCTAAACTTCTGGGCAAAGGAGCCCTTCCTTCTCTCCCCAGCTTGGGGAGATAGTGGAAAGGAGAATTAGTCCCTCCTGCTTCCCAATCTGGAGTAGAGGAGGAATGGGGGGGGATTTTTGGTTCCCCATCTCTTACCATTCCTCTTCCAAGCGTTTATCAATAAGTAGCATGTGCTCCTTTCCACTTTTCAAGTGTTAGTAACTCCCAGACCGAGTTGGCTCTTAGCTTTTTCGGGGAGGGAAGGAGCAAAGGATTGCTTTTTTGCAGGAATTTCAACAGCCTTTCCAGTGATAGTCTTAAGAGAGGAGATCCTCCAGCATTTTATAGAGCCGGGGGACAGGTCCTTATTGGAAGTCCTGGGTTCCTTTTCCAGCAAGGCGGAGAAAGCTTGGATCTGGGAACCTGGGCCTTCTCACTCAGTGCTGCCTGAACTCCCTCAGCATTCCCCCCCCCCCCAATAGATGCTGGGATTCTCGTCTTTCCCTCCTTGCCTCTCCTCCTCTCCTTTCTAATTGGGAGTGCCTGAGTCCCTCACCTGGTAGGGCCACTGCTCTTTGGGGGGTAGGAGGCAGGAGACCATTGGGACTGTTTTCCAGATGGCTGAGTAATGCCATTTTGCCCTGGGCCACTATTTGGGTATTTGCCTGTGCCTGGATCAGCCATGAACTCCCAGGAAGTAAAATTGACACTGGATTGGGTTTAATGAGGGGTGGGACCAGTTCCCTTTAATCAGAAAGAGAGGACTATTGGGGGAGGGGGTTCCCCTTCAGGTGTCTGCATTCGTTGTTGGTTCCATCCCATTTTCCCATCTCTGTTGGTTTTCTCCTTATCTCTTCCCCTCAAATTGATTTGATGCCTCCCCTTCCCCTTTCTTCTTTGTTATGATTTGATTTCTTTCCTTTGGATCAATTGGTAGTTTCTGTTATTTATTGTGGTGTTGTTGTTTTTATTTTTCTTCCTTTTCCCCATCCAGTTATTGTGATCACTCTAAGCCCTGCTCCTGCCCCGTCCCAACGAGCAGGTACCAGCCTTTTTATCATCACCGCTTGGACTTCTGCATCATTGACTTAACTTGCTGCCTTCAGCCCGCATAGAACTGCTATGTGTTCAGTTTTCCCTGTCTATCTTTCTCTTTCTCTACCTGAGCCATTATATTTGTCTACCTATTTCTCTCTCTCTCTCTCTCTCTCTGTCTCTCTGCCTCTTTGTCCTGTTCATGCCTTTCTTTGTAGATTGATGTGAAGTCTCTCTCAGCCTTTGACTTTTTTTGGCTTCCTTTCTGGGATTGTCTGAGTGCAGGTGTGTATATGTGGATGGATCTCTTTGTATCCAAGGAAGTATGTATGTCAATTCTTTGGCTGTGGTGTGGCATGTTGTATGTGCCTCTTACTGATTGGCTTTGTGTGACTGGGTGTGTTTGTGTGTGTATATTCTGATTATTTCTCTCTTAACATCCATTCCTGATTAGTTTTGTACCCCACCTCATCTACCTGTTTCTACTACTTAATGCTCTTGGGACCTTAGCCCAAACAATGATTGAAGTTGAACCCGGGTGACCCAGAGAATTGGGATCTTATTATTCCATTCCTGTCCCTTATCTAGCCCTTAGCCACCCAGGTTTTTCCCCTGAGTCAGCACTTGCCAGGAGTAGGACCTTCCTGCTCAGTTTTCCTTGCTTCTTGCCCCCTGAGTCCCCACCTGAATTGTCGGAGCAGCCCTGGTATTCTGTGTTCCCTAGGACCCAGTGATTCCGGTAGTCCTATTTCATCGTGAAATTGACTCAAACATGATACCTGTTGTGATATTTTGCCTGTCTTCCAACTGACCCAGTTGACCAGCTACCCCATCCTGCATTCTACCCCAGGGGTCCAGTTTCTATGCAGCTGACTGAGATGGAGCAAAATAGCCACACAGCATCATCCTCCTAAAACTTGGACCTAGAAGTAAAGTCAGCTAAATAGTATAGGAAGTGATGGCTGCACCCTGTCCTTCAAGCTCCATCTTCTGTGTCAAGTTAGTAAACCTTTAGTACCACCATCCATGTGTCGGGCACTGGGAATGTAAAAAAAGGCAAAACAATTTTTGCCCTCTAGTAGCTCAGTCTGATGGGGGAAACGACATGCAAACAAGATTTGTACATAGTTGTGTAGAAATAATATATACAGGATGAGTTGGAGATAATCTTAGAGGAAGTCACTAACTTTAAGGAGGATAGGGAAAGGCTTCTTGGAGAATATGGGATTCAAGCTAAGCCTTGAAGAAATCGAGGAGCCAGAAATCAGGAAGAAAAGCATTCCTGGCATAGGGGACGGCCACAGAAAGGACAGCCAGGTGACACTGTCCAAGGCAGAACACTGGACCCGGAGTCAGGGAGACCCGAGTTCAAATCTAGCCTTAGACACTTACTAGCTGTGTGACTCTGGGCAGGTCATTTAAGCTCTCTCTGCTTCACTTTCCTCATGTGTACAATGGAATAATAATAGCACCTACCTTCTGGGGTTATTATGAGAATAAAATATGGAGGATGGGAGTTTGGCTGTCTCACTTAATTGAACTGGAACTGAAAGACATTCATCCTAGAGAACAACCCGTCTGCTTTCCCAGGGGCACTGTTCTCCCTGGAGACAAACATCCTGGAGCAGAGGGACCCTATTTGGAAGACTGACCTGGGAATCATTGGCCTCTCATTTTTGTGACCCAGCCATTTGGGAAAGGGCTATGGGCCTTGGCTGCCCTACTTGAAGGACCTAAGTGGAATGGATGCCCCTTTTCTCAGTCAGGACAGCCAGTAGTATTTGCCTTCAGGCTTCCCACCTGTTAATGCTGAAGATGTAGGACTAGCCTGGAAGATTTTCTAAGGGCATTTTCCCTGCTGAGCCAAGATAGAGCACCTTTTGAAGGGTTGTTTTTTCTCCCTTTGCAAATCTTAAAGTGCTATATAAATGCTAGTTATTATCATCATTATTATAAAAGGCAGAGTTGGGAGATGAAGGGTCTTGTGCAAGGAACAGAAAGGAGGCCAGTTACTGGATTGTAGGATACAGGAAGGGTAGGAAGGGGCCTGGTTAGGAAAGGCTTTAATAGCTAGCTTATATTTTATCTTGAGGGCAATAGGGAACCATTGGAGTTTATCAAATAGGAGAGTGGCATGGCCAATCCTGCACTTTAAGAAGATCGGTTTGACAGCCAAGTTGAAGATGGTTTGGAGTGTAGAGAGACTTGAGGCAGAAAACCAACCAGCAGACTGTTGGAATAGTCCAGGCATGACGTGATGAGGGCCTGCAACGGGACGATGGCAGTGTCAGAGGAGAGAAGGTGACACGTAGAGGTAGAATTGATAGGACTTAGCAGTTTGGATATGGGGAGAGTAAGAGTGAGGAGGTGAGGAGGGCCCCAGATGGTGGGGTGGCACTCTCTTGCACTAAAAGTAACAGTAAGTTAACAGTAAGCCTTTTTTTCCTAGTAGGAGGGATGAATAAAAGCATCTGGAAGAAGTTGGTGGGAATTTTGTTTCAGGTTCTCCAGCCCTTTGAGCTTTCCTCTGGCTGTCCTTTGACAGATTGGGCAGGCAGAGTTGAGTCAGGGAGCCAGAGTCTGCCCTGGTATGGATTCTTTCCGAGGATAGGAGGGAGGTGCACTAGACAGTCTTAAGTACTTTTCAGCCTTAATGCTCTCCTGCTCTTGGAGTCACTTCATTTGGAAAGTTCAGTGACAACTATGGCAATAGTACCCCCTTAGCCAGTTTCCTCATGTCTAGGCTCCCTGACTTAGGCTATGGAGTGAGCCTGAAAGGGCAGAAGGTGTACCTCACGTTTCTTTTTCCTGTGGTCTTACTCCTTGGCCTGTTCCCTCCCCAGATTTTAGGAGAGCAGTGAAATGTGGGCGTTGGAGTCAAGGATCTCTCAGGTCCCTCCTGAGGCCTATGGATAATACTCGGAGCCTTTTTCTTTCCCTTCTTGCTTCCCAAGGATCTGAGCCACTGATTCTCACTTTATAGTGAAGGTACTTAAAGTAGCCTTAGGAGCCAGCCTTGAGTTCTAGTGGCAAGATTGTGAGAGGCTGATGGCCCACAGGCTGGCCCTACTACAGATGGTGCTGGCAGGAGTGGGGCCAGTCTCTAGAGTGTCGAGGGACATGGGTGGCATGGAGAAGAGGAGAGAGGCTGGAGAGGGAAATGCTTGGCCTTTGTCCTAAAATAGCAGGACGAAGAGTAAATGAGGAAACGGTGACCACAAAGAGAAATACCTAAGGTGGGAAGAGGAGGAGCATTTGAAACAATCTCAGACTACTGTTCCATGAGATTTTTCTTATTTTGTAGTAGGAGCCTTGTCTTTACTGCTACCAGCTAAATAGACATTTATTAATCAAGGCAGTGTGCTTTGCCTAGCCTCTGGGCTGCGCAGACCTCCCTAGATGCCTTGGTGGACAGGAACCCTTTCCCCTTAATTTAGTTTATACATGTTTAAGTAAGCGAAATCTTTACACCTGAGGAAACCTGGGAAGTGGAGGATGGGACAGAGCTACTGCAGTGACTCAGAGTCCAGCTGCCTCACCTAATTGAACTGGAACTGAAAGACATTCGTCCTAGAGAATAACCCATCTTCTTTCCCAGGGGCACGGGAGTCCCTGGAGACAAACATCTTGGAGCAGAGAGGCCCCATTTGAAAGACTGACATTGGGTCATTTTTGTGACCCAGCTATTTGGGAAAGGGCTATGGGTCTTGGCTACCCTACTTGAAGGACCTAAGTAGAATGGACCCCCTTTCTCTCAGTCAGGACAGCCAGTAGTATTTGCCTTCAGGCTTCCTGCCTGTTAATACTGAAGATATAGGACTAGCCTGGAAGATTTTCTAAGGGCAGTTTCCCTGCTGAGCCAAGATAGAGCAGCTTTTGAAGGGTTGTTTTTTTCTGCCTTGACTGTTCTGATTTCCCCAATCAATAGCTCTCATCTTTTCCAACTTCTCTTAAGCCTCTGTATCTATTTAGCAGCTCCTTCCCTGCCGTCAGCAGCCATCAGCAGCCCATTACCACTCCTGGTACGAGTTGAGAGAGCCTTCCTTCGTGAGCCCTCTGGCTCCTATCCTATCCCTTTGTGACCCTACTTAGTGGAGTAGTAGGACTCCTGGGTTGCTCCTGTAGTTTTCCTGTCCTTAACCTCAATGTCTTTCTTTCTCCCTTCCCCCACGCTCTCCTCGTGGCTGTTCAGACTCTCCTGTTTTTGTTTAAAGCTGTCCTTCTTTCCAGATTTCCTACTCCTCTCTCTCCTTTTAACTCTTGAGTGTTACTCCTTTTTTCCTCATCCCCATCCTCCATCCTTCACCCAGAGTGGCTGTCTGCCTGCCTGCCTGCAGCATGTCCTGCCCCTCCTGGGGGCTGTTAGTTGCATGAAGGGTCCGGCTGTCCTGCATGCAGGCTGCTTGATGTGATATAATTTGATAGGCTGTCAGGAGGTGTGATCTTCCCCATTCCACCCCACCTTGCTTCTCAGAGGGAGCTCACTGAAGAGGATGCTGGACTCCTGAGTTCCCTTTGACTTCTTCCTGGGAACCTGCCCCACCCAACCCTTTGGCTTCCGTCTTTCCCTCTGCTTATGGGGCTGGGTGGGCATTGGGAAAAGGCCTGCTAGAGGCCTGCCCTCATGTATAGCCGTAATAGATGGCAGGACTGACAGGCGAACGTTGGACAGCTGGTGTCCGGGGCTCATGCTCGGTTTGTCCTTCAGGCCTCTCAGTTCTCCCCTTCCTAGGAGAGGGCATGAGCTTGGATCAGCTTTGCCAATGGGCTCCACATGTCTTCCTGCCAAGGCTTGGGGCCTCCCTGAATCCTAGCAAACCAAGAGCAATGATTCTTCAGAAGCCAGGCCCCAGCGATTGTGAACCACATTTAGGGGCTTGTTTCCTGTGCATTGAGATGAGGAAAGAGCCCTGTCCTGGGAGGTTTCTGGAGGCCCAGAAAACAGCAGGATTTTGGATAAGTGGTTTGCCCTCTTCAGGCCTCACTTTCTCCATCTGTAAAATGAGGGGGTCGGCAATAATCCCTCAGGTCCCTTCTACTGCTGAGAGTTTTGTGATTTCCCTGGCCCACCATCTGCTTTCTTTTAGGCCCTAGGAGGCAGGGGTGGGGGAACTGAAGCTCTGTCAGTAGTGGAGGTAATGTTTCTGGGGCAGCCTGGGGGGCCTAGAGGGTGTTAGGAAACCAAGTCCTCTTTGCTCTTCTCTCCCATCCCCTTCTCTGTCCATTCACAGATGTGCCCAGCCTAGCATAAGACCTCCTGTTTCTTTTGGAGCTGCAAAGAAAATCTCTAGTTTGGTGTGGGTTCTAGCCTCCTGAAGGATCCTGTCCCCTCCTTAGCTCTCCCTCTATAATCAGAGGAATGGAAGGATAAACTGGTCCCTTCTCCCGGGGCCAAAGATGGACAAATCAATACTTGTTAAGTGCTTCAAGCTCTTTAAGGGTAGCACTAGTAGGTAACTGAAGGCCAAGCTCTGTCCTGGCTGAGAATGAGGAGGGAGAGGGAAAAGGGGTGTCCCTGGTCGTTCAGTCTTCTGCTAGCCTTCAGCTTCTATTTCCCTCAAACCTGGGAGGAGATTTCCCTACAGAGTTGGGTTAGCTTTCCTGACGTCCAGTTCTGAATGATGGGGCCGCTTGGGTTCGGTCATCTCGCTTCCCTTGAAAGTGAGTCAAGTAGGTCTAGAATAGAGCTTGACTGAGTTCTCTCCCTTCGTGTAGGAAAGGGGGTGACCTGAAGAAGAAAGGTCCCTGGCATCTAGGCCCATTACTGGGTGGCTAATCTCCTGGATCTGTTGTGCCACTTTGGAGAAGTGAGAAGATGAATTGCAAGACCCTCTTGTGGAGGGCCAGGAACCCTTGGGCCCTTTCTAAGCATCATCATGGCTTCCTTAGTAGTTGTCAGTTGTAATGGAGGAGCTCTTTGGCCAGGGTCTTGTGGGGCCTGAAAGGTGGGCTGTCCTTGTCCTTGGAAAACTGACCTTTCTTCTTTTCCCTTTACACCCCTGGCTGTTCCTTTCCTCACTTCCTTTCTCATAGCTCTGCAACTCCCGCTGGCCAATGATGGGGGTAGCCGATCGCCTTCCTCTGAGAGCTCCCCTCAGCAGCCCACCCCACCAGCTCGGCCCCGGCACATGTTGGGGCTCCCAACACCACTGTTCATGCCACGCAGCATGGAGAGGTGAGGAGACACAGAAGGTGGTTTAAGATTTCTGAGTTTCTGAGTAGGAATACGGAGAGAAGGCCAGTGTTAGAGGATGGAGGAGGACGTTGCTGCTGTTTGGGAAGATGGGATAGCTTTGGGGAAAGCCCTGGGATTTGGAAGGGTGGGAAGAAAAGAAACTTTGGGACAATAGGGGTGGGCCTGTGTGGAATTTTGGAATAGGAAGAATAAGGAAATGGACTATCCAGGTGTCCCTGTTAGGGCAGGAAGAGTCAATGAAGTTTGCCGCCCCATTGGGTAAAGCTGTTTTGGAGCTATCGTGGCTAAGTGTCTGTCTCTCAGGGTCACCATCCCCTAATCTTTCTTCCCTCCAGCATCGAAATTGACCAGAAGCTGCAGGAGATCATGAAGCAGACAGGATACCTGACCATTGGAGGCCAGGTGAGAATAATCGTCTGTCATCCCCTCCCTTTTCCTGCCTGTTGCCCTGGAAGCAGCAATGGGGACCTGAAGGGGTGTGTGTATGGACAGTTGAGCCTTGGGGTAGTGTGTCCTGGCGGATTGGAAAGCAGAGGTGGAAATGATGTTTGGTGATGGTGATCGTCCTGTTCCTCGTCTTCCCCAGAGGTACCAGGCAGAGATCAATGACCTAGAGAACCTGGGCGAGATGGGCAGTGGCACCTGTGGCCAGGTCTGGAAGATGCGCTTCAAGAAGACAGGCCACATCCTCGCTGTCAAGGTGAGATACCAGCCCCCCCCCCCCGCCTCCATCTCTCAGATGGGCAGGTCAAGGTGCTCCCGCTCTTGTCTCCGGGTCCGGGTGAGAGCCCTCTCTTCTACCCCTCTTAGATTGAGGAGGGGCCCTTTAGGAGGACAGGTCCCACCGTCCCACTCAAGGTGAGGCCCTGCTTCCTGCCCTCTTCCTTCCCAGCCCTGACCCCCTTTGCAACTCCAATGGTCTTCTGCAGCAAATGCGCCGCTCTGGAAACAAGGAAGAAAACAAAAGAATTCTTATGGACCTGGATGTGGTGCTCAAGAGCCATGACTGCCCCTACATCGTTCAGTGCTTTGGGACCTTCATTACTAATGTAAGTGATGGGGGTGGGCTCAGGTCTGGCCTAGAAGAAGCGTCCCCACCCCAACATTCTCTGTTCTCCGCTCCCTTGCCACCCTCTTCTTCCCGTGGCTTCCCGGTGTCTCAGACTGTGTCACCGCAGGGACAGACGAGGCCCCGCGGGCAGGGAGGCCCCCTCCTCCCCCCCAGTGACGTCTCCCTCGTTTCCTCCACAGACAGACGTCTTCATCGCCATGGAGCTCATGGGCACCTGTGCCGAAAAGCTGAAGAAGAGGATCCAAGGCCCTATCCCAGAGCGGATCTTAGGCAAGATGACCGTGGCTGTAAGTTGGTGGAAGTGGATCGGAGGCACCGTCCGGGGCCTCTTCCTGGGCCCCCCCCCCCATGGGTTGACGCTGGTCCCTTTGGAGCTTTCCCCCCTCACCCTGGCTCACAGACACGGCTATGAGCCTGCTGCTTAGGCTTGGGGAAAGGGCCCGAGAAGCCGTCACTTCCTGGGAGCTGTAGGAAGGACCCCAAGCTCTGGGAGGGGAGAGCCTTCAAATGGAAGAGATGGGTGGCAGTAAGGGTGGCTGGGGCAATCCTGCCGCTCAGCAGTGAAAGAGTCCTGGGGGTGGGGGTGTGGTTGCAGATCGTTAAGGCGCTCTACTACCTGAAGGAGAAGCATGGTGTGATTCACAGAGATGTGAAGCCCTCCAACATCCTGCTGGATGAGCGGGGCCAGATCAAGCTCTGTGACTTTGGCATCAGTGGCCGTCTGGTAGACTCCAAGGCCAAGACAAGAAGTGCGGGTTGTGCGGCTTACATGGCGGTAAGCCGCATGCTCCCTAATGGGGCAGGGGGTGGGATGGGCCCTCATTGGCCCAGGCATCAGAGCAGCCAAGGGATTGTCACCTGTCTCTGGGGTACATCTTCACAGACTTGGATTTTTAAAACTTAACCTACTCTGAATTGGCCTTTTCAGGGTGGGGGTGAGAGAATAGGAGGGACATTGTGCAATGCCAGAGAGATTATGTGTTTCATCTCTACCGGTTTGGGTGTTACTGACCTGGGCTGGTCCTCTGGCCTACAGGTAACCCTCCCAGGTGTGTCTTGGGCTGTTTGCTTTACCCTGTCCTCGTGGGTATGTCTGTGAGAGCCGTTGGAAGAAATTGTCTGTCTCTTCCTTCTTACCAGCCTGAGCGGATAGACCCTCCAGATCCCACCAAGCCTGATTATGACATCCGAGCAGATGTGTGGAGCCTGGGAATCTCACTGGTGAGCCGAGCAGACCTGGCCCAGACCCCCGAAGCATCCTGGGCACAGGGGGGGCTGGAGACAGTTGCAAAACAGAATAAAATGAGTATGAAGGAAAGTGAAGTTAATGGGACTTAACGTGAGAGCCCTCACGTGAATTTGAGACTGGGAGAGAATTCTAAAAGTGGATTGGCCACTTCGAGGGTAGTGGATGCTCCATTACTGCTGGTCTCCAAGCAAATGCTGGATGACAACTTGTCAGACTTATTATAGAAAGAAGTCTTGTTCAGGGTCCAGTTGGACTTGGATGACCTTTGAGATCAGAAATTCTGTGAAAGAGGGAAGCGGGCAGGGTAGAAAACTTGATGCAAGAGGGGATCTGGGGGTTGGAGAGAGGGCAGAAAAAAGGAAGCAGGGAAGGTGACCACATTCTCAGCCCTTCTTCCCTAGGTGGAGCTGGCAACTGGGCAGTTCCCCTACAAGAACTGCAAGACTGACTTTGAGGTCCTCACCAAGGTCCTGCAGGAAGAGCCACCCCTTCTGCCCAGTAATATGGGCTTCTCGGTGGACTTTCAGTCCTTTGTTAAAGACTGGTGAGTCTTCTCCCTGTATCCCCTGGGTCTTCAGTTTACCCCTCATTTCTTCCCTCAACTCCCCATGTGCCTACTTTTCAACTTCTTCATTTAGGAGAGCCGTGCTAAATATGGGCTTAGAGATCAGGGTGGGCTTAGGAGTAAAAAGGGACTAGGGAGCCTGTTCCAAGCACTGCAGGGGATATAAGAAGGGGGAAGGCCTGATCTCTCTCTCTCACAGTGCTCATGGTCAAGGTGGAGAGGGACTGGCTCACCCATTGGACTACAAGGTGTCCCAAAAGTCCACGTGTGGTTTTATGTTCATTAAAGCTTTAATAGAAGGTGCTTTGGGGGCAGCTAGGTGGCACAGTGGATAGAGCTGTGGCTTTGCAGTCAGGAGGACCTGAGTTCAAATTGGGCCTCAGATACTTGACACTCACTAGCTGTGTGACCCTGGACAAGTCACTTAACCTTGATTGCCTCACACCCCCCCCCCAAAAAATGATAGCACTTACCTTCCAGGGTTGTGATATTCAATGAAGTAATATTTGTAAAGCATTTATCACAGGGCTTGGCACATAATAGGTGCTTAATAGATGCTTGTTCTATTGTTCAGAATGATTCAGGTATTAAGTGGCAAAGCTAAGGCTTGAACCTAGGTCTTTTGCCTTCAAATTCAGTATTATTTCCATTGTAAGGTGCTACCTTCCCACTGTGGATGGACCTAACTGTTAGAAAATGTACAGTCAGGGGCAGCTGGGTGGTACAGTGGATACAGTTCCAGCCTTGGAGTCAGGAAGACCTGAATTCAAATCTGGCCTTAGATACTTGACACTTAGCAGCTGCGTGGCACTGGGCAAGTCACTTGACCCGGATTGCCTCACCAAAAAAAGCAAAATAAATAAAGAAAATAAAAGGTGCTTTAAGGTTTTAAATGGCACTTAGACTTTTGGGACACCCTGTGTAATTTGTAGATTCTGGGTTTCAGAATATTAAAAATCTGTGGAACTTTTTTGAGAAGGCAAAGATCATTGATGGCCTCAGTATTCAGGGCAGTAGGGGAGGAAGAAGAGGAGAGGGTGTTGTTGGCAGGAGTGCTCCAAAGGATTGCTGTAGGGGGTGGGAAAGTGCCCGGTAAAAAGGTCTGCTTGGCTTGGAGTGGACAGTGCTTGTGGAGGACACATAGGAGGGAGTGGGGCTGTATCGTAGAGGTTCTTGACCACAGGCCTTAGGAACTGGGACTCAGTACTGTAGACTAGCACTTCTTAAACTGGTCGTGACCCCTTATTGGGTGGTGAAAAATTTGGCACCAGTAAAAGTTTTCTGCACATGCAGCAACCAAAAATTCAGAATCAAACACGTAATGAAACTGAGGTGTTTCTGGCAGGGCTCATTCTGAACACAAAGCAATGTATGCTTTGCACTGTGCATGCCCTCAGGCCGTGTAACACCAACCAGTGCTGCCCGGATCTGTGAGAAGGGGGTCTGGGTGATGAGTGGTAAAGGTTTAAGAAGCCCTGCTGTAGACTTTGCTTTTAAATGGGGAGAGGGGGAGAAAAAAACAACAGGTGGCTCTGGAGCTGCTTGAATCACTGTAACCAAAGAGTGGTCAGGGATGGGGTGAGATAGCTCGGAACGTGGTCTCCAGGGAGTGAATGCCCCAAGGATGAGAGATGGTGATGCGTTTTGGCATGTTCAGCACATTTTGGAAACAAGGTGAAGCTGGGAAGGATGAATGACAGAATTAAGGTTTAGAAAGCTCTGGCCAGGCCAGAGCAATGGCTTCAGCTAAATAATGTGAACTCTAAGAGGGATAAATGTGACATTTCAGGTTTGTGTTTCCAAAATCAATTTTCCTGTTAAAAGAAGGGAAAAGGAAGACACTGGCTCCAGTGAAACAGATCTAGGGGTTTTAGTGCACCACAGACTTAGTGTGACTGAGCCAGAGACAGTGTGGCTCTGTGCTGCGCTGAGAGAGACAGGAGGCTCTGAGCTTGCCAGGCTCTGCCCTGGGCAGCCCACCTCTTGGGCATCCTAGTCAGTATGGAGCAACATGTTTTAAGAAGACCATTTACCCTTGAGAACCCCGGAAGGGTAGTCAGGATCATGAGAGGATTAGAGCTAAGCGCATGTGAAAATCTGGCAAAGGAACAGGGTTTGTTTGGGCCTGAAAAAAAGAGACTTCTGACAGGGAAGTGGGGGAGAGGCAGAAGGGGACATGGCAGCAGTCGTCAGTAACTTGGAGGGTTCTCACGAGGGCAGCACCAGGAGCAGTGGATAGGAGCTTCTGACAAAGGCTGAGGCCTGACAGAAAGGAACGTTTGTCAACAGCAAAAAAGGTCCCTCTGGGGGGAGAGCGGCCCCTTCCCACAGGGTTACATGACAGCAGTAATGGAGAAGCAATTGTTGGTTAAGTATTAATTGGACCGGATGGCCTCTGAGCGACCGTCTGGCTCCTGATGCCCAGCGCATTGGAATAGAGAGAGGCTGGAGATTGGCTCTGGGACTGCTGGAGTCGCCCAGGTCTGTTGTGATGGGTGGTGGCAGTGAGAGTGGAGGAGGGCATGGATTAAGATGTTGGACCTTCTTCAGGGAGAGAATGCAGGTGTCATGGATAGTACCAAGGTAGATAAGACCAGCATCTGGTTTGAGGATGGACGCGCTAAATTCAGTTTTGGACAAGTTGAATTTAAGGTGATAACGGGACATTTAACTGGAGAGGTCCTGTGTGGTTCCTGGGCCAGAGATGCCATCTGAAGAATCATCTCTTTAGCCAGGACAGTGGGAGCTATATGAGGCATGACATAGAGAGAGAAAGAAGAGACAAACCCCAAGGCACTTGCCCAGGGCAGAGTCTGGCAAGCTCAGAGCCTCCTACCTCTCTCAGCGCAGCACAGAACCACGCTGTCTCTGGCTCAACCACACTAAGTCTGTGATGCACTAAAACCCCTAGGTCTTTTTCACTGGAGCCACTGTCTTGCTTTCCCCTTCTTGTAACAGGAAAATTGATTTTGGAAGACTGAAACCCCAAGACAAACCCCGGTTTAGGGTGGGGTGGTTCTCAGAGTCCCAGCCATCTCTGATCCCAAGCACATTGCCAAGCCCAGCTCTGGCTTTTTTGGCCCTAACTTCTGACAGGCCATTTCCCTCCCATCCTAGGATGAGTTTCCTTCTTTCTTCCCCTAGCAAAGTTCCCATTCTTAGGGTAAAGGGGCAGGAACTCCTTCCAAGAACCCTCAGTCATGCTTAGATGTGCCACCCTCTAGTGACCGGGACTGGAGGCTAGGAAGTTTGGGTTCCCCTCACCTGAAAGCATGAACAGTCATTTCTTTAAAACCCTTGGAGATCCCTTGAGGGAGGAGGGCTTGGTATACCCGTTAGATGGCAGCCTTTTGGGGTCGTCAGTTCTTGGAAAGGCAAGACAGGCTAGATTGACTTGAGGAGCAAGTCACCCCCTACTCCCTCACCCCTCTAACCTACCCTACTCCAGGAGGCGGGGTGGCCCCTTTGTCACATGCTCATACATCTGTGTTCTTATTCCCTAGCCTTACTAAAGATCACAGGAAGAGACCAAAATACAATAAGCTACTTGTGAGTACACTTTACCTGTTTCCCTGGGGCTGGGGGCACCGAGCTTCTCTGTGGCCTTGGGGAAGGAGGGAGGGGAGAGGCCTGGGCCTGACTTCCTGTCCCTCGCAGGAACACAGCTTCATCAAACGATACGAGATGCTGGAAGTGGACGTGGCATCCTGGTTCAAGGATGTCATGGCGAAGACAGAGTCCCCTCGGACTAGCGGCATCTTGAGCCAGCATCACCTTCCCTTCTTCAGGTAGCCAAGTGGTGACCAGCCTGGGAGGGTCAGCAGGGGCTGGGGGAGAAGGGGGCAAGACAAATGGCCAGTCAGCCTGCTCCTCCCCCCACTCCAGCTGCAGCAGGGGCTACGCCACCCTGGCCCCGAGACGTACCGGTCTTCCGCTCGCCTCCCCCCATGCTGGCGGGCCAGATGTCACATGGAGCTGGGGAGGGAGTACGGAAACATGGACAGCCACAGAGAGCTGAAGACAAAGCGGGGGCCCTCCAGACCCGCCTGCCCCCACCCCCTGCCTTTCGGCTGAGGACAAACTGGCACCGATTGGGCCTCCAGCTCCTTTCCTGGGGGAGAGCTGTACGCCCCTCTCCCCCTGACACTGTGAACAGAAGATGGAAGACAGGTCCACCATTAGACTCTATTTATTCAGTTGTAACCTCTGGGCTTGGGTGGGCTCCTGGAGGCCAGGAGAGAGCTGCCAGAATCCTTATTCTCTTTGCCCTCTCTCCTGCCCGCTCTTCTGGCTTGAGGATTCAGTTTGCAAGCCACGAGGGCTGGGGTAGGGTGGCCTGGGAGGGGTTGCTTGCTGCTCTGTGGGTGTCACTCCCAAGGTTTTTGTCCCTGGGAATGTGGGGGGAGGGGCAGGGAGGAGCACGTCTGGCCAGCTGGGGGTGGTCAGGTGGCCTGCAGTGGGTCAGTTTTTCTCTTGTTGATCTCAGGGGGTCCTTTATGGAGTTTATTTTATTTTATTTGGGGGGATATGGTGGGGGTGGGGTGGGGTGGGTTGATTCTTACATGGGGGTGTCGGTACCTTCAGAACCTTTAACCAAAGTCGTGTTTGGCTGCTTGTGGCAGTGGTTCAGCAGCGGCAGGTGGTGGGGACTTGTTTAAATCTGTACTTTGTCAGCAGAAAGGGTAGATATGGGCAGAGATTGTGGGTCCTGATGCCAGGGGTGTGGCATCTCCTGAGGTGCTCTGTGGCCTTCAGTAGCCCGGTGGAGTGTGCGGTGGGACCTCCCCTTGCTTCCTCCCTCCCATGCATACTCATGAGGAACTTACCAGGGCTTGGCCCCCTCTCCAGTCATCTAGCCCTGAGCCAGACCCTAAAGGTTGTTTTGTCCCAAACATGGAGAGATCTGGTTCCCAGCTCTGGGGTGAGTTGAAGATCTTAGATGCCTGCTCTGGGAGTTCTAAATTCGCCTTCTTCCTGGGGCCAGGGTTTGAAGAAGCTGTAGTCACCAGGGTCCAGGCGGTTGGGCGCCCGCCAGTCAGAAGGCAGCAGACATTGGTGTAGCAGAGACGTAGAAGGGTGGTGAACGAGGCTAGCAGGCAGGCCAGAAGGGGCTTGAAGGGAGGGAAGGAGAAGGAGTGAAGGACAACGCAGGTCAGGGCAGAGGGCTGAGGGTGCAGAAGAGCTGGAAACGCCACAGGGCCACTTGGGGGCATCAGATGGAGCAAGACAGAGGTTGGTAGAGATGGTTTGAGGATGTGAGATGGGGACAGAGGTTGGGAGCGGAAGAAAAATCTTAGAGTGGGTCAGGGTATTTAGGAAGTGTGGGCAAGCCTAGTGGTAGAGGGTGAAGAGGAAGTGTGGAGGGCAGGAGAAGACAGTGGCTACAGGTACCTGGCCCCAGCAAACCACCCAGGGCTTCCTTCAACTCATCCCTTGAGCTGGCTCTCCATTCTCCAGGTTCATGGGTAAACTGAGGTCTGGTGCCTGTGCCCTCTGCCTCCTCACAGGACTGACCTTGGGGCCCCTCTGTTCCCAAGGCTAGCATGAGTGGGGCTGGCTGTCTTCCCACCCCTCCCCAGGAAAGGAGACAGGGCAGGACCCTGGAGAGCATCTAGGCTGAGTTTCTCAGGCCCCTCAGACAAAGAAGACAGGAGATGAATTGGTCCCCATGGCTGTCTGGCCCACCTTGGCACTTGCCTTGGCAGGTCCCCAGAGAAAAGGCAAATGCAGTTTTATTGCATTGTTTCTTAATTATTATTATTATTGTTGTTATTATTATTATTATTGTTATTATTATTATTTACAATTGATGCGTGAATAGAGGTGGTTCTTGGCCACCCCCTGCAGCCCCACCTTGGTCTCTCTAGAGCCTTCAGGTGGTGGTCAGGTGGGTGGGGAAGGAGGGTGGAGGAAGAGGTATTTCTTTTTTTCTTGGTGATGCATGCAGATCAAATGGAAAACCACACACACACACACACACACACACACACACGCACGCACGCACGCACACACACACACACACACACACACGCCCAGAAGGCGCTCCCCCCCCCAACCACAGGAACCAAGGCCAAAGGTAAGAAGGACAGCACAGCTCGATGGACTTCACTGGCTCAACATAGGCTTTAGCATCTATCTCCCTGTAGTCTGTCTAGTCTCTGTTCTCATCGGTATAGTTGCAGAAGGCCACATGTTAAAACTAGAGGAGTTACCTTCTTTCCTGCCCAGAGGGACGTGGGTACCATCTCCCCCCTGTGCTTGGCCACACTGCCAGCAGAAAGGGATTTGGGGATTGTGCCCTCCCCCCCCACCTCCAGAAGGCTGTCTGGGGGCCCCTTGTGCCAGGGATAACCAGACACTCTCCTTCCCCCTCTCCATCTGGGCAGCCAGTACCCATCCCCTCATGCCCTGGAGCCAGGTAAAGTGACTTTCACCAGGGGGATGGTCGTCTGCTCAGTGGCAACTGTCCAGTTTTATTTTAATTTAACTATTTTCTGTTTTGTGAGCATGTGTGCTCTTTTCCTCTTCCCTGGGCCCAGCCCTTATTTCAGTGTTAAATGGATCTGTGCCACCCTCCCCCAACTAGCCAGCCAGCCTGCCCAGAGTCCTGGTTCTTAGGCCTGTCCCTCTTTCCTCTCTCCCAGCTGAGCTTCCTGAGCTGATTTCCAGGCTGAGTTAGCCAGATGCCTGAGCCACCCCATCCCCTCTTCCCTCTCAGGACGCATCCTGGGACCCTGGCCAATTTCCCAGGGAGAGGCCAGGAGAGCCAGTGTGAGGTAGGGGTGGGGGAAGAGCAGAGTGGACCTGGGGCCTAACTCTCCCCACCCCTGAGCTTGTGGCCCCAGCTCAGCTTTGTACCTCGTGGCTGAAGGCAGTGGTGGAAGCATGTGTGTGCCCCCTCCCTTCTTACAGGGGTTGGGGGGGTGGGTGCCTACTGGGGGGCACCTGGGCCAGCAGTATTGCCCCATTGTCCCTTTTTCAAAAACAAAATGCCCTTGTTTGTAAACCCTTCTTAGAAGCTTGAAAATTAAAAAAAATAATAATAATAATAAAAAACCACCACCAAAAAAAAAATCCCTTTTACTCAGCTATGTCCAGAGTGGAGAAAAGGGCTGGGGGTGGGAGGTGGGCTTGGGGTGCAGGGGAGGGGGAATAGAGTTTGCTCTCAGGGTGCTGTAAGAAGAGGAATAGAGGTGAGTGAGAATGCTAGCCACTTCCCACCTGCCTCGAGTTGCTTTGGCTTGGTGTGGGGCTGAGGGAGGATGGGCTAGCCTTGAGAGTCTGGCTCTAGGGCCTTCGTGGGAGAGCTGAGAGTCATTCTTGTGGCCTGGATTGGTGTTTGACCTTCCTGATGCGGCTAGGTCAAGTGAGACTGTTCTTAATCCCTTCTCTCCCAACATAGGGACTAGGGCCTTGAGCTGCTCTTCTCTGCACCAGCACGGTCAGCTCAGGTGTCACTTTGGTACCTCCCTCTCCCGCCCCAGCTAGTCTGAAGGCTTGGAGATGGCCCTGACAAGAGAGCTTCCTTTCCTGCACCCCCACCCGCCCCATCTGCCTGGATTTGCAGCCCTGTCAATGGATACCTTTCCCCATCGTAGCAGAAGGAGGGGCAAGGCCATACGTTCACAATTGTGTCCTGAGTGCACTACAAGCTGGGCCCCAGGCAGGACCAGCTACCCACAGCCCCTCTGCCCCGTTCCACATCAGCACTAGTACTGAGTGGGTCCAGATCCCGTCCCGGGAGGGTGTGAGAACAGCTTCCCCCTTCTCCAGCAGAGATTCCGAGGACGCTCCTGGGCCTCCCTAGAGGCAGTATGGTGGGATTGGCTGCTTTCTTCCTTCCCTTCTTCCTTCAGGCTCCCACACCTCCCCCAGGTAGAATGGGTAGGTACCGGGGATATTGGTAAGAATATCTCAGCTCTCATCTAGCCTGCATATCACCACCAGACCCATTTCTCAGGGCTTCGTTCTTCTCAGTTAAGGGCTATGAAGCCCTGTAGACTAATTAACCTTCAGACTTCCTGATTAAGCTTTCCTTGACTTTTCCCTTAAAACTCTTTCCCACCTGACCCATCCCCTCCTGGACATGCTGCTGGATCCCAACCACTGGACACTCATTCTCTATCTTGGAAAGTTTTATCTTCTGTGACCGAGGGGCTTAGTATGGGAAAGTGGGAGGGCTGGGGAGCCCACCAGTACTACTGGAGAAGGTGAACTGGCATTGGTCACTTAAGAACAGGACAGCTTCACCTCCCCTTCCCTCCCAGGTCTACCAGAATCTTCCTCTCTCCCTTGCTCCCAGGACACCCCTGGGGGAGGTAGAATCCGTCACAAACGTGAGTAGGGGTGTTGGTCTTGGAAAGGGGGGTAGTGGTAGCAGCAGATGAAGGCCTGCTCAGAATCCATTCTTACCCCAGACTTCTCAAAACAACCCTACCCGAATCCACCATGCATTTGCTATGTCCTGAGGGTGAGCAGGGATTATCTTTCTCATTTGGAGAGGGCAGTAAGAGTCACAGGGAGAGGAAAGCATTTGCACAAGACCACAGAACCAGTTCTGGGCTTTTCAGCTTGATGAAGCTAGCCCTCACCTACCTGTGTGCCCATGTGTCTGCTCCTCTCAACTTAATTTGCCCTCCCAAGGTCTCAGGTTACCTTGGGCTGGGGTTTTCTCCAGAGGCGGGGAGTTAAGAAATGGTCACAGTTGAAGATAAGCTTGAAAGGTTTGGTCACTTTCTTGTTTGCAGTTGGGGAAGGGGGGGGGGGAGGTGCAGAAGGGATAGCTAGCACACGGTGGGTTCCCTGGAGCCAGCATCATAAGAGCTTTCTCTGTGGCCAGCTTGCCTGTCTCCTGCTCTGTCAAGCCCTGGACCTCGGCGGCCACCCTTCAACTTGATTGTCTCCAGCTCGGACACATTCCAGAGGTTCCCAGGGCCATGTGTGGTGCCTGCCAACAGTCCTGTGTTTATGGAGGTGATAGGGGAGGGCTGGAACCTGGGGTCCAGGGGGCCTGCTGATGGGAGTTGGTGGGCTCGTGTAATATAGTTTGTTGGGGGTTTTAGTTTGTTTGTTTTTTAATGCTTGATTTGGATTCCAAGACCATGGATTCCTATTCCACCTTTCCCATAGTTGTTGAGTGGCTGGTCAAGTTTGTTTCATTGCTCTGGGCTCTGGTTTAACATCTATCTAGAAAAGCAGCCTGGAAAGTGCTGGAGAGTCAAAGGTGAAGGGTTTGAGCAAGGGCTCGGCTGCTTACTTCGTATGCCCTTGGACAAAATGTTTAACCACTCTGGATCTCAGTTTCCCCATTTGTAAAATGGATCACTGAGGTCCTTTCTGGCTCTTGTGTGTGATCCTATGGTGGGTTAGTGAGGGGGATTGGATTATATTTCTGAAATCCCAGCAGTAGATCTATGAACCCTGGGTTGGTGAGATGGCCAGGTGTGATAGTGGATCCCACCTTGAGGAATGGAGGTTGGAAGCCCAGCTGCCTCAGCCCACCTTGCCAGCTGGATCCCAGTGTCCCGTCCTGTCTCCTCTCCTATCTCTCAGGCGTCCTTGGCTGAGCCCTCTTCACGCTGGGGCCTTTTTTTACACCGATGCTCCTTATCGCCTTCCTCTGACCCGACCCAAGGCTCCCCAGTCCTGCTACTGCTAAGGGGTGGCTGCCCAGCAGAAGCCTCTGTGTCCTTCCACCCCCCACCCCCTGGGTCCCTGCCCCAAACCAGACTCAGCTTCCGCCTGCGCCCCATCTTCAACGCCTCTGTGCAGTTCCTACACTGCCAGCTGGGACTCTGCCGCCGTCGGGGTGCCCTGCGGAGAGACCCCCGCAGTGCCGACCACCCCCCAAGGGTCTGTGAGATTTGGGGGGGAGCACACTGCTTCTTGAAGGGAACAAGGGTAGGGGGAGTGATTCATCTCTGGCTTGATGAGGTTTCAGGGTGGCGTCAGAAGTCTGGGTCTTTGGATTGGTCTGCAGCAGAGGGGCAAGTGTGAGAAGGGGAGGGTGGTGAAAGGGGGATCTCTTATTCCCTCCGGGGCTCAGTGTCTCTCCCAGGATGAAGCCTGCACCGGCAGTGGAAGCAGGGAAGAGGTCGTTGGAGAAAGCCCCCATGTACACACCCTGTCCCAGCCCATCATTGTCACTGTGCCCCAACCCCTCCATAGACCCCCTCGCATTCCCCCTGGTGAGACCCTTTAGCCCTTTCCTAGGGGTGATTTAGAGGAAAAGGTCTGGCTTGAGGGAAGGCTGGATTTCTGAATCCCTGAGGCAGGCAACAGCTAGGGGCTTGGATAGGTCCCCAAGAGAAAGACTACTGGGGACTACCTGCCTGGGTTAAAGAGCAGAGTGCAGGCTGTTTCAGGGGCAAGATCTCTGACTTCTAGCCCCTAGCTCTGAGCCTGCCTGCTCTCCTTTCAAGCTCAGTCACAAGCCGGACTGAGCCAGGTCCTCCATCCTGATCCACAAGCCCCAGGCTGCGGGGGCCTGGAGCCTGCCCCAGTTGTGGCCATCGCTGTCTCTGCCTTTGTCTTGGGGGCTGCCCTCACTGCCGGCTTGGGTCTGATCTATGTGCATACAGGTATGAGGGCTCTGCTGTCCTGGGGCCCAGCCTGCCACGCCTCTCTTGGGAGGATCACTGAAAACCCAACAAACATATTTGCTGGGATTCCTGCACTTTGTCCTGTCTCAACCACGGGAGGTTCTCTGTCTTTTTTATCACCCACAACTGGGCTTCTGAGGATTCCCCTCCCCCTAGGTGGGATTTGGAGGGACTACCACACTCCTCAAATCAAGCCCTACATTCTCTCTCCCAGCTCCATCCCCACTAAGGGCAGCCCCCAGTGGATCTCCAAGTGCCTCCCAGCCTAGGAGATCTCAGTGAAAACAGGTAACTGGTGGACAGAGTCAGGGGGAATTGAGTGATGAGGGGTCTCAGTTCTGGCACATTTTACTCAGGGTCTTGGTGAGGAGGAGGAGTTTGGGGAGAAGAGAGAGAAACAGAGAAAGACACACACACACACACACACACACACAGAGTCTAGCAATCTGGCATGGTAGAAATAACCTAGGACTTTGAGTGAAAAGACCAGAGTTCACCAACCAAGTTCGCACACTTCCATTTCCCCTCTCAGAACCTCTGTTTACTCTTCTATAAAATAAAGGGGTTGGGTTAAATGATCTCTAAGTTCCCTTCCACTTCTAAATCCTATCATTCATTTTGTGATACCTTTCCTGCAGAGTTGCTCCTACAGGGAGAGCCCAGCAGGCGCCCCCATCCTCCTTCCCGTCCTGGAAACACTACCTCCATGTCTCTCTTTACCTAGGATCTCCAAACCTGAAAAATAAACCTGACTTTTCTGCAGCCGTGGACCCTGCCCCTTTGTGCAGTGACAGGCTTGTTGTACAGGATGAGTGTGGAGTCGGGGAAGAGGGTCACACCACCCAGGGAGTCAAAACACCTGGGTTCTTTCCAGTATTGGCTCTGCCACAGCCTACCAGTGTGGCCTTGGGCAAGTTCATTTCTCCTCTCAATTCAACAAAAATGAAATGCGCACTTACTATGTGTCAGGCACTGTACTAGGAGCTGAGCAGTCTTTTACCCTCAGTGAACTTACATTTTACTGAAGGGGAAGACACGTATGTAACCTGTTATCCAGATACCTTCCCGCGTGCGCGCCCCCCCCCCCAGACCCTGGGCTCACAAGAAAAGGCCTAGCCTGGAGCCTGTATTTTAGAGGTATGTTAGACATAGGACTTGACCTAGGTCTTTCTGACTCCAAGGCTAGTGATCCATCTATACCACATCATCTCTACCCCTAGAGAAATCTTTAAACTAAAGCTTAGATGTAGCTCTTGACCATGTTTCCCTGAAAGTGGACATAGGGTAGTCCTTAAAGCTGATGATGTAGAGGAAATCTCCTTTATGTCTAAAAGGCCAGAACAGAGGATCATGTTAAGTAATTAAAAATCCCCCCTCGTTCATAGAGGAGTTTGGGGCTCATGGACATTGTCTATGAGCTACCTCCCATCAGCTAAAATACAGGCCCGTGCACCTGTGTCTTTCATGTGCTGCTCCTGCAAGTCAACATAAGCTGCTCCAGGGTTGGAGTGGAAAAGAAGAGAAGGAATTGTCCACCTTCTTTGCTGAACTCAAAAATAAGGCACCAGGGAATAGGAGAAGAAGAGTGGGAGACTTCTCAGTTTGCTTTATAGACCATGGCGGAGGAGGGGGCAGCTCTCCAGTCAACGGTCTAGCCTCAGACTTTGACACTTGCCATCCAGGAATCAGCTCTATTCACGGGGAGCCAATCAGAGGCACTTCTTGTGTCTTTGGCAAGGGGCCAGAATACATGCTTACCTACACTGCAAGTACCATTTACATGCCTACAGGCACAGGTCCATTTCTTGTAATCTCATCCATTTGATTGGAGAGCTCATTAAACTGATCAGGGATTCCTCTTATCGCCCCTCCATAATCTCTTCCAGCTAAATATTAGGTGTACCAGAAAATCAAGCTGGGCTTTGGTGTGCATTGGGACGTATCCCCCATCCTAAGTAGTTCTCGGGGATATGGGGAAGTTCAGGCATTGGCCTCTTCTTGACAACCCCTTTCAGTGTTTTGCACTACGAATCTTAGTTCTTACACGCACAGTAGAAACCAAACCTTCGATAACTGGTAGGTATAGAGATGATGCTCAATCCAAAATGCATTGTCACACAAATTCAAAAAGCAAGCCATGTTTTGCAAAGTTCCCGTTGGTTATCATCTGGCTTGGCTTTTGTAAGGGAAATTAAAATGACTAGAAATAGCAAAAATAGATGAAAGAACACAAGCTTCCCCCCATCCCCCAGAGAAGAAATCCACCCCCGGTTCAGCTCTCAAGACGTGAGACTCCTCATCAGAGAGGAGTTTGGATCTGTTGGAAATGGACCCTTCGTTCCCAAGGGAAGAACCAGGCTATTCTGAACAAAAATCAGCTTCCCCAGTGGATCCCTACAATGGGCAAGGCAATCTAAATGGAGGTCCAGACAAGTTGTCTTAACTCATCATTACGTCACTTAACACATCATAATTTCACTCTCCCAGACTTCATGTGTAATACTGGTACGGCCATTGGTGTGTGCATTTGATGGGTATACCGGTTGACTCTTGAGCTGCTTCGATATCAACAGCAAGCCCCTGTGGCTCATGTCCTGCCTTCTGCAAATCTAGAGAAAGAATAAGTGTCACTTGACCCATCAGTTAACAACTTATGAGAGAATGTAGTTTATAATTTTACCCACCGGGTGGTGCACTACAACCATCAGCTGAGTGGTCTTGTCGAGGTCATTTTGACGCATGTGCAAAAGGTCTCTCTTTTTATATGAGCAGACAGTGAGCTGTGCCAGACCACTGGCTTCAAAAGGGCCTTACCATGGAAAAACTAAAACAACATTCATTGACCTGAGTTCCAAATTCTAGCTGAGGAATTATTAAATATCACACCAAAAATATAAAAATGAGAGACCTTTTGCTCATTATAGCAAACCCCAAAGTTTGATTGTAAAAAAAAAATCTTCAAAATACAGCTCATGCCTAGATTTCCCTAACTGTGGGTAACAGACCCCAGCTCCCATGTAGGCATCCACTGGACAGTATGGATATTGAGTACAAGACAACTTTTATTTCAGGACCTACCCTCTATACCCCAAAAAGAATAAGAGAGAAAGGACACATCGGAGCCCAGAACAAATGCATAAAAATAGAGCACTAATGGTGTAATCAGTTCTTCCAGGTGGGTAAGGACTGTGAGGACTGCAGAACAGTCATTTCTCTTTAGCCAATCTGCACCTTCTGAGCAACGCTTGGTGAGAGGGAGGTTTGACAAGATCCAGATCTTCTGACCTGGCTCTAGTCTTCCAGCTACAGGAACTGGGGTGGTGATCCTCTTCTTTCTTTGAAAAACATACTGTTAAGGGAATCTTCTCCTCAGAGACCAGGGTCCTAACTCTTGGGAATCTCCCAAATTTTGGATTAGCCACAAGATAAACTGCAAGGTCAGAAAAGCCCAGTTTCAGGCGGTATCTTTCTCAGGACATATGCAAACATACATCTCCCTCTGCCTTGTGCTTCTGCAGGAATTCTATACATGCCTAGGCTGCTTGGTCAGGGGGAAAAGTCTGTCCTGAGGAACTTTAGTTTCAGACCTGTGTTCAGAAAATAAAATACTCTCTTAAGGACACTTTATGAGGGAACAGAGAAAAAAAGCAGACAAAAGAGATTAGGACAGAGGGAAATACAGAGTTAGCGGTCATAACTGTGCATGTGAATGAGATAGACTCACTCATAAAATGGAAAAGGATAGCAGAATTGATTAGAAACAAGAATCCAACAATATATTGTTTACAAGAAACATTTTTGAAACAGAAAATTACACATAGAGTTAAAATAGGGGGCTGGAGAAGAACCTATTATACTTCAGTTGAAGGAGAAAAAATCAGGGGTGGCAATTATGACTTCAGACAAAGCAAAAGCAAAAAAAAAAGTAAGTAAAGAGATAATCAAAACTACATTTTGCTGAAAGGTACCACAGACAAAAATAATAGAAATACTGAATATATATGCACCAAATTTCACAACATCTAAATTCTTAAAGAAGGAGCTAAATGAGTTATAGGAAGAAATAATAAAACTATAATAGCAGGGAGAACCTCAATCTACCCCTCTCAGGCTTAAATAAATCTAACAAAAATAAACAAGAAAAAAGATTAATAGAGTTTTAGAAGCATTCGATGTGATAGACTTCTGGAGAATATCAAATGAGAATAGAAAGATTATATCTTTCAGCTTTACATGGAACCATCACAAAACTTAATATGTATTAGGGCATTAAAACCTCATAAACAAATGCAGAAAAGCAGAAATATTAAATGCATCTTTTCCTGACCATAACACAATAAAAATTACATTCAATAAAGGGCCTTTGAAACATAGATTAAAAATTAATTAGAAACTAAATGATTTAACCCTAAATAATGTGTGGGTCGAAGATCAAATCATAAAAACAACCAACAATTTCATTAAAAATAATAACAACAATGAGACAAAATACTGAAATTTGTGGGAGGTGGCAACAGCAGAACTTAGGAAGAATTTGTATCTTTAAATGCTTGTACCAATAAAAGAGAGAAAAAGCAGATCAAAAGTTGGGCATGCAACTAAAAGATCTAGAAAACCAGCAAATTAAAAACACCCAATTAAATACCAAAGTACAAATCCTGAAAAATCAAGAAAGACTAACAAAGTTGAAAGTTAAAAAAAAATTAAACTAATAAATAAAACTAGGAGCTGATTTAAAAAAAATAAAAATAGATAAATCACTGGATAATTTGGTAAAAAAAAAATAATAAAGTCAAATTACCAGTATGAAAAATAAAGATGAGTCCACAGCAAATGAAGAAATAAAAGCAATTATTAGAAGCTATTTTACCCAACTGTATGTCAATAAAATTGACAATCTGAATGAAGTAGCTGAATATTTGCAAAAATATAAATTGCTCAAATGAACAGAATAGGAAATAGAAATCTTAAATAACCCGATTTTAGAAAAAGAAATTTAACGATCTATAAATAAGCTCCCTAAAGGGAGGGGGGACTCTCAGCACCAGATGGATTAAAAAGCTAATTGGAACAATTAATTCTAATATTACAGAAACTATTTTTAAAAATAGGTAAAGGAGTCCTACCAAATTTCCTCTATGCACAGATATGGTCTTGATACCATAATTAGGGAGAGTCAAAACAGAGTAAGAAAATCACAGATCAGTTTCCCTAATAAATATTGGTGCAAAAATTTTAAATAAAATGCTAGCAAGGAGAATACAGCAATTTATCACAAAGATCATACACTAGGAGCAGGCTGTATTTATACCAGGAATGTAGGATTGGTTCATTATTAGAAAGGCTATAATCATAGTTGACCATATTAATAACCAAAACAACAACAACAAAATACAATTATTTCAGTAGATGGAGAAAAATCTTTCGACAAAATACAACACTCATTCCTGTTTAAAACAAACACAAACACCAGAAAGCATAGGAATAAACTTAACTTCTTATAAAATAATTAGTAGTAACTATCTAAAACCAATAGCAAACATTATCTGTAATGGGGAAAAGCTAGAAGCCTTTCCAATAAGAGCAGGGGTAAAGTAAGAATGTCCTTTATCGCTGTTACTAGTAAATGTTGTACTAGAAGTGCTAGCTATAGCAATAAAAAAAAGAAAAAGAAAAAGACATTAAAGGAATAAGCACAGGTAAAGAAAAAACAAAACTATAATTTTTGCAGATGGTTTAGTTAGAGA